GAGCGGGCGGGGCCGCCGGGGCCGGCCGGGTGCTGCCCCCCACCCGACAGCGACCACGAGACTTAAACACCCCCCAGCACGGGCAGCCCGAAATACACCCGACCCCGCAATCTGCCCGAGTCCAACTGCTTTTGTGCCAGAGCAAAAATATTATATTTAAAAGAGATTTCTGTCATTGACTGCCTACAAACTCTGAGCCCGTGCAGAACTGCTCACACCGGTACCAAACGCTGTGCCAGAGCTCGGTTTGCCCCCCCACCCAACAACGGGCCAAGGTCCCACGTCTGGATGAGCCTGCGCCCAGCGCTGCGTGAAAAAACCTCAGCTCCGTCCCGCAGCCATCTCCCCCCTGCCCAGCCCCACCACAGCGAGGAGTGCCGCTGGCTGCAGACCAGGAACACCATCCCCCTCCTCTGAACGCACACGAGACCCCCACCCTCCGCTCCCTCTCCCTCCTCTTCTTCCCCATCCGTCCCTGGGGGCAGACGGTCTTTGCTTGCAGGGTCCCAGATTTCCCCTTTTTGCAAAGATTCGGTCTTGAACCGTTTCTGAGCGACGCAGCTGAACTGTACGCATGGATCTGGGGTCTCCTGAAACGTCACCAGCCCACGATTCTGGAAAACGCTGTTCCCCCAGTAACTCACTGCCTGCAAGGGGAAGTGCTGAGCCTCGTGCTGTAAAATGTCAGTGACGGTGCAGCAAGATCTGCCACCGATTCTGCAACAACTGAAACGCAGCAGGCAGGACAGAATCACATCATGGTCAGGGTTGGAAGGGACCTCTGGGATCTCCCACCCAACCCCCTGCCCAAGCAGGGTCACCCAGAGCAGGCTGCACAGCACCGCGGCCAGGCGGGGCTGGAATATCTCCAGAGAAGGAGACTCCACAGCCTCCCTGGGCAGCCTGGGCCAGGGCTCCATCACCCTCAGAGGGAAGAAGTTCTTCCTCATCTTCAGCTGGAGCTTCCTCTGCTTCAGTTTGTGCCCATTGCCCCTTGTCCTGTC